CATTTGAATGAAAAGACTGGTAAGTCTGGAAACTAAACTGGAATCATTTCTTATTGAATAGGTAGTTCTCCCTGTTCTGCAGATGAAGGGAGAGAATGCAAATCGGACTGCCTCACCTTTTACTTAGGTGTGCATGGTACAGGTGCACATGTTATTGCTGAGAGCAGGGTATTGATGTAGACTTGGCCCTTGTGGTTTATACTGTTTGATTTAAGGCCAGCGATTAATTAGGTTATAGCTGGAGTTGCATGTGTAATCAAGATTTATGTTGCTATGGCAACAGAGACACAACTGTGCTGAATTTCCTAGATCTTTAAAGCAGGAGTCCTTATCCAAAATCATATTAAGAATTCCCATCAGTGTGTGAAGAGTGTAGCTAAGAGGGGCCCTCATTAATAGGCTGAAGTCTTGTACATCTGACTCTCTCACTGAGTTGAGTGAAATCCTGCTGCTCATCAAAGGGTTAGAGAAAATAGGCAGTTGCAAGAAAGAAGATAAGGAGAACCTGTGGTTCAAATTAATCAAGAGCAATTGATTTCGAGACAAATAGAAGCAATGCAAGATTTGATGACTACTCTGAAAATCACAGGGTGCTTCCAAGAGGCCATTGGCAAAACCTTTGCAACATATTCCAGGTATTGCATTTGGCCTGGAAATAGAGGCAAGGAGGAACTGAACATGAGCCAGGTCAAGACTTCACAGGATTAAACATCAAATTAAAATAGTGGTGCTGACATAGCACATGATGAGGTAGATGGAGAAAGATGGAAAAGATGAAGAGAAGATGGAAGATAAAAATCATAGGTAACTGGGAGGGGATAGTTTGAGGTAAATGAGGAGGACTGTAAGGGATTCAGAACTGCAGAGGTAGACTGTGGTAGAGGCAGAGATTTTGGACTGAACTCTGCCTCCTGCTCATCAGTGTCAGGGCACCCCTGGCATCTGGGAGCCAGCAATAATTTGTCCTCTTGAGGATAAACTATTTAATACAGTAAGTAAAAATTGTAAATTAGACACTTTCAAAAACAACAACAAAAAAAGTCTGAACACACTCTCCCTCTCCCCAAAAAACCCCAGAAAACCAAACCTGATTTTTTAAAAATGTTGGAAACGGGGGTTATTAATTTTGGTTGTTTTCTTTTCAAGGTCACTTGCGTAAATGTATTTCTTATTTTGGCAGTGATAGAAAATATCCAATGAACATGACTTTTATTAAAGCAATATCCTTGAAAAGTTAGTTATCTTAAAGGTTACGAAATGTTAATGGAAAAGGAAAAAAATTAGATTACCTTAGAGAACTTTCAGAGAGATATGTAGCTATGAAAATCTATGTCATGTTTGTACAATTTGTTTTACCTCCTGGAAAGCGGTAATATTTCAGTTTATATTTTATTTTGCTTTTTTATTATTTCTTTTTTTAAACAAAGAAGGAAAACAACAGTGTAGGAAAGAGTGAATGGACTGTAACCTATTTACTTTCAAACAGTTTGTTCATGTGGCACAGTTACATGTGATGGACTGGTGATCCATTTCCCTGCAAATTCAGCGGAAATTACACTGTAATTTTCATCCAGTTATTTAATAGATCAGCTGCAACAAGGGCCTGTTGTAGTCTCTTGAACAAATCATGATAACCAGGAAGCACTGAAAGGGAAGAGAATGCTGCTCTTCAATTTTTTTCCGAACTCCTTCTTTGCAGGAGGCTGGCATTTGTTGAGCTGCATTCATGTTTTGGGGACTTGGCAAGGCTTGCTGCAGTGACTGAACAGCTGGGTGCCAATTTACTGCACACTCCCTACTCTGCTCCAAGTCTCTGTGTGAGCTCTTTGACAGGAGCATAAGCACAAGAGAAGAATTGAGCATGGGGAAAGTGTGCCCATAACTACCACCTTCGGCTCCTCTTTGCTGGTCTTACCAAACGGCTTCTTGGGAAGCTTAAATGAGAACTGGAGCAGATGCTGAAGAAGAGGGATTCCTGGGTAGCTTGCATTTTCATTACCTACTTTGCAAAACTGACTTTCTAATTATCCTAGAAGTTACAATCCAGAAGTTGGATGAAATGAACATTTTCTATTTGCAACAGAGGCACTGTCTGGTACTTTCAAGGCAAAGAAGTTGTAATGGTTGTTTTTGTTTAGCAAAAGAAATAGAGGCATTGAGATTGGCTTGTTAAGTTACACAGGTCTAAGTTTCTGGGGGTTTTTGATGACAGTAGAGTCACGTGAAAGTGGTACAGCTGCAGGTCTGGGCAGACGACACAGGTTTCTTGCCTTCTGTAAACACTGAAATGAAGAGGTTAATTGCTAGGATATTTCCCTGCTGCGCTGTAAAGAAAAACCTGATAGTGTTATGAATCTTGACTGCAAAGTCAAATTGACAACTCTAGTTGTGTCTTAATTAACTGCAAAATATAAACCATCAGCGGGAATGGAAAATGTTACAAAAAGGCGCATGAAATTATTTGTATTTTAGTATATTACTGTTATTCTAAGATTATAACCTAATTATTTTCTTGGCAATATTTATTAAGTATATCTAAAAATAGCCTCTTCTACAGTGTTGTAATAGGTGGAAGTCTCCAGCATACTTGTTGTAGCGGAAAACTCAGTGCCAGTCCCAATGAGTGAGAAACTTAAAGGAAAAACTTAATGGTCTTATGATTCAATAGGAAACTAAGCCAGACGTCAGCCTGCATTGAAATTCAGTGAAGACATTTTAGGAAAAGTATAACATAATATTGTATCAGTGGGAAAATTCTTACCATCTTCTAAGTCAAGTCCAAGTTGGCTTTTGTGTTTATTTAAAATATTCATATTAACCTCCAGTTCAGACAGCATTTGGAATTCAGTATGAATGGTTGAAAACATTCTCCTTTTTCTTTTTTTTTTTTTTTTTAAGAATTGCGAAGATTGAACAAAGAGCTTCAAGCGGAAAGATGAAAGCAAGCGCTCAGATGCATTGAACCGCATAGTAACTAAACATGAAATATAAACTAGAGCAAGGAGCTAATCAGACAACAAAAGAAAAGAAATTATTATTAGTCTCTGGAATTACTACTTGTAAATGGAGGATTCCTAGGCAGTTGAACAGCAGAATAGAGCATATTTTGAAGCAAAGAAGAAAGATAGCTGGAGACATGAAACACTCAATTTGTTTTATTTAAGGGTCAAATAAGAAAAAAATAAGTGGGCTTTTGACTGTAAGAAATACTTATTTGAAATCACTGCAACTAACCTCTTCTATTTGACCACATGACTTGAAATGGCATTCTGGAAAAAGTTCTGATTGAGTAACTTCTGGCACATATAATATCATTTGAAGTCTGTGTTGCAATCCTGTCTACCTCTGGTGTTCAGTCTGTTACAGTTTTACAGTTTTCAGTGACACTGAGAATGTGCCTCTTAGGAATGTACTGTGCTGTTACTGAATTTAATTTTTATGTATATTCACTTAGTAAAAGCTGAGCTAGTGCATCATAAAAGAAAATTGTGGATTGTGGAGAAAAAAAGAAAGTAAGGATTGTGAAAATATTGAACATAAATGTTGTGAAGGGAGACATTCATAGATACTAGAGTCAGAATAGACTGCGACAATTGTTAAAAATTTGGCTCAACCCCTTACATAGCAGAGTATATAAAACCAGTGCAATGGATCAAGTCTTCTGTACTATTCTGTTAGCATTCACACACTTAATTTGAAGTATGTTGTTTTTTCAGTCACTGAGATTAATTCCCAGTTTTAAAATTTAAGAGATAATGTTTGTAGGACAGGTGTTTTGGAGAGCTCACATTATTTATTATATTTTTTAAATAATTAATTTTTTTTCTTACATAGCTCATCTTTTCTCATATATTCTCATCTATTTTATCATAATAATATATTTCAGTAGTAAAAGAGACGGAGTTTTATTATGATTCCAAAAATCTTTATTATTTTAACATCAAGGAAAGCACATTAAAGTCTTTGCTTTTGACATTTTCAAATGAAGTCAAAGGAATCACTTGTATAATTTCATCTTGATAATATATCGCTTAGTTTCTTATAAGAAATTTGCAAACAGGCATTAATCTCTGTTGAGTAGTTGGACAATTGAATAAGTCCTATTTTAATATGGAGGAGTATTTCCCAAATAAACAGGCAGTTTGAATTAGTTTAAAGAATGTCTTAACACTTTGAAATGTAATCCCATCAGCCTCCATCAGATATTAAAGCCTGACCTGGTTGGTACTTGAATGAGGGGATGTATTAAGGAAGATATTAAGATGTATTAAGGTGTAAGATTCTGTATGAAGGGATTCAATATCTGCATCCGCTTGTTTTATGTGAGCTTAGAGGTAATATTAAACGTTTAAGAAGATACTACTTTTCAAATGAATCACTAAAATAAAATGCTTTTCTAAGGAATTAAGATTGTGGAGTGGAAATAGGGAAACCATGGTTTTGTTGCTGAAAAATTTTAGCCAATTCATCACTTCTAGAGGGTTGATAAACCATAGATAATTTATGTGTGATTTGGGGGCTTTGGTTTTAGCGACCAGGCTATATTTCAGGTAACACACTAATAGTTTGCCAAGCTACTCACATTAGCAACAATTGAAAAGTTGGTTTGTAGCATCCTGTTCTTAATTGGTTGGAATAATGATCATAAAGGTCTTTCCTGCCAAATGAGTCTGTGATTCTAGAATCATTCTGTGCTTCTGCTGAATACAGACTCTGTTTTGTGCCAAATAAGCTTTTGGTGAACTTGGGAATGTGCATATGATTGAATAGGCATATGCAGTTATATCATGCTCAGGCAAGATGATACATTTGCATTTTTTCTTGACTTCAATGAAATAAAATCATATCCTTTGATACAGACTATTTTATAAATATGGTTATTAGATGGATGTAATGATTTTATGAATGTAAACTTACAAGGTCCTGAATTATGCATGCCTATAAAATGTAAAATCTACGCTGCAACACTTCACGTTTTGTAATCTTCATTCTGTTTTCAGGATGGAACATGAGGCTACCCAGCTAGAAAAGCAGCACGTGCACAGTGTGTATGAGAATACAGCTGCCTACTTTAGTGATCTGCAGAGCAAAGCGTGGCCTCGTGTTCGGAACTTCCTGCTGGAACAAAAGCCTGGCAGTCTTGTTGTTGATATTGGTAAGCCGTTCTTTCAGATGGCATGAAGGACTGTTTGTAAGATTTATTTGTTTATATGTTAATCGTATGTAACCTTCAGATAACTGCTTTTAAAAGTTATTTAAATTTGGTTTTAAATTGTTTTTAAACCCCTACTAGGTGCCGTATAATACTTGTTTTAATTCTCTGGCAGTGTATCAGGTAGACAGTTAATAATTTTTTCCCTTATTTTGTTGAGCTAAGCCTTAATCTCTCAGTTCCCCATGGGCTTAATGGTCTATCATTCCCCTGGAACTCTTAAAAAAAAATTATGTTAATAGTTAATTATTTCATATTTCAGTTTCTTTAGATCTCTTGGTTTATTTACTACTGGTCTGCAATTTATTGCTTTTCATTTGTTCTAAAGCTCCTCCTATCAAGGCTTTATATTAAGAGAAGTCTTCTGATGTGAATGCTATTTAAAATATTAAAAATAGTTATAATCTGAGAATCTCCCTATGATCCTAAATACAGGCACCAAAACTACGATTTCCTTCTATGGTGCTGTCTTCCCTACATATTTGATTTATAGCTTGGGTTTATGTTTCTTCTAGAGACTTTTTAGGTTTTCCAGGTGCTGGAGTGTTTCCTTTCCTTGCATTATGACTTTGGTCCTATAGAGCACATCATTGCAAAACAGATGCTGTTTTGCTCCATTGTATTTTCCTCACTGTTTAAACTAATAAAATGCTTTTATCCAGCAAGGTTTAACAAATGTACACAATAAAATATGTATCTGTCTTATCCTAGTAGAGAAAATCATTATTTGAATAAGCTTTAGGCCATAATCAATAGGTAATATGTAGTTCTGCTGCTGTAGCTATTTTTATATGTCTGCACCATTTTCACTAATAATCTCAGGAAATATTCTTATGACATACACTCACTCATTCAACAGTCACCCCAAACTGCTATTTCTCAGCCAAAATTGTTGTCACCTCAATAGTAGTCATTTGAAGCTTAGCTGAAGTTCTTTGAGGCTTTATCATCAATGATTGCTGAAAACTTAAGGTCACCCTGTTAAGAGTCTCATCTGCAGAGAAGGCAGGTGCTTATAGCTGCCAATAAGAATACTCCCATTAAGGCACACAAGGTATGTCCTTTTATGAGGTTTATTAAGATCTACAGGAATCTGACTATTGTGTTTATTTTTGGTATGTGTTTAGGGAAGAGTGGCTCTAAAGAGGCACTAGTGCCTAGTGGCACTAGAATTTTAAAAGTAAGATCTTAAATTGATAATTTCCTTTTCAGTTTAATACCACCTTTTATTAAAATATCATTTTGTCTAATTGCCTTATAATTTTTCATTCAGCAAAATAAATGACAATAGCTTGGCCATTGTTAGCTTCATGAAGGAATTCACCCTCCTGATGATTCATTCATTCAAAAGTGAATCTCTGGCAAATGCAGATTTTTAGAATACTGTGATTATTAAGACTATTTAGCTTCATTCCAGGGAGGACCCTCCACTTCTGAAAACTCCTCGTGATTAAAAAGCACTTTACCAAAAGCCATGTATTAAGCAACTGAATCTTCTAAATTAATGTATGGTTGAATAAATATGTTCCTGAGCAAACATGATGATGAATAATACTTTATACAAAATTTCATAACTAACTTCATTTTTTAACTAACATGCCAAGCTTCGTGTTTTATTGTGTATATTTCTTGAACTGCATTAAGCAATATTAATGTTTTCCATTTATCTCAAAAGTTACTTCAAAGAATAGCACTTGCTTTTAGCTTAGAAATATGCTCTTTTTCACCACTAAAGTGTTGTTCTGTTCCACAGCAGTTCCTATGCTGTCTCTCTAGATAATGGTGCACATTAACATCACTGAGAGCAGCAGTGCTGCAAGAAGCAGTGATGTTTCTAAAGATAACTCCAGGCCTCTAAACTGAATTTCCAATACTGAGATGATTCTCTTTGCCAGGCTGCTACCCCGTTGCTTGGCTGTCAGCTTTTAGAAATTATCCTTCACTACTGACCTAGAACTGCAGTGAATGATCCCTAATACAATTTTGAAAAGTGCCTGTTATGCAGACTGCACTGAGGAACACTCGGCAAGATTTCAATTTAAGTACAGCACAGTCCTTGAGAAGACAGACTTTTAGGTGGAAGACATTCTAGAACAGCTCATTACATTTGCATGGGTTATAATGCTTTAGCACAAAGAAGAAAAGAGGATGTGCCTGCAACATGGCAGGAATTTTTATGATTTACAGTTATTTTTCAAGTCTACCTCTGAATTTAAAATTTTCCTTTCTGACTTGTGTCAGTGGCATCTGTGATTTAGGACTTCTTGGAGAGAAATGAGATGCACTGGAGATGTACTTCGTGAGGTTTAGCAAAGACTAGGGAAGGACTTGGAAAAGGGATCTATTGCAGGTCACTAAGAAAACAAAACACACTGGCTTCAGGAAATCCCCTGAACAGAAAGTATCTGGAACTGGAAGGGTATTGAGGAAAAGGGCCATAATGCTTACCTTTTTCTTACCCTCTCCTGGGCGCCCCTTTATGCCTGTTGTTGGAAGCAGGATACCAGGCTGTATAAAGGCTCAGTGTGAAACAACATAGTTGGTTTTTTACTCTAAGATGTGCAGTAGTGGCTACAGAGGACCACTGCTTCCTTCTCCCACCTGAACTTATCCTTAATTCCCCACAGAAGTACATATAGCCTGCTATTATACAGGGCTGCGCAATGAGTATTTTTGTTGGTGATGTTGGTACTGTTACAATCCTAATGGTGTGAACATATAATTTCAAACAGTCCAAATGAACTCTGCAGCAGTTAGGCTCACATCCTTTGTTTTCCAGGAAACCTTAGGATGTGAGGAAAGCCCTCACATTATTTTCCCTGCTTTGGGAGGGATAGCAAATGTTTGGAATTTAGGACTTCTGATCTAGTATTCTTTTCTTTAGGCTGTGGAACTGGAAAGTATCTCAGTGTCAACAGTCAAGTGTATAATCTCGGTTGTGATTACTGTGAAGCATTGGTAGAGATTGCAAGGAAGAAAGATGATGAAGTTCTGGTGTGCGACAACCTTAACCTTCCCTTTAGGGACCAGTGCTTCAATGCAGTCATTTCCATTGGAGGTAAGACAACGTACATGCATCCTGACCCACAGCAAATGAGAAATTCTGAGGCTTCTTTTCTTTCCATGGGGCTTCATTTCAGTTAATTTTTTTGAAACAGTTCTTTCAGAATCACAGCAGATATAAATGAAATGAATGTAGTAAACATGAAAAAAAAAATCCATTGCATGGAGGCGCTGTTGACCGAGGAAATATGTGGATCATTTGTTTGTTTATATATGGTCCTGTACACCCTGTGGAGAAAAGATTTCCTTTCAGCATGCATTTTAAACAAGTGAAAACTAATATAAACAAGGTTGCTTGCAGTTTAAACAGATGAGGTGGTTGGGATAAACGCTTGGTTCCTCCATAGGATCTGTTTTGATCAGCAAATACATTGAAATGAAAGCTTTCTTTGTAGCAGAACTCAAAACTCATGTTAACTATTATGTATTCTGAATTCAGATTTCTCTTAGTCATGAAATAAGAACTTAGAGCCATACAAGTACTGTTGTCTTAAATAAGCGAAGCATCTCAATGTCTTAACCTCTCTGACCCCTCTTTTTGAAAATGTTACTCATAGTTTGAGAAGTATAAATTGCAAAGTGTAGATGAAAAGTGGAGTATCCAGTTACAGTCTACATTTTTAGCTCTACCCTTGTTTGAACTTCTTTCAGGGTTTTTCAATGTATCAGCAAAAATATAACGGATAATAATTATTATTGATAACAATCAACAAACTATTTGAAATATGATAGAAATGTATTTTAAAATGTATTTTTCACATATTCAGGTGGAAAGGAACAGTGACTAATATGCAAGCAGTAGTGATGTTACTGTGCTTTCACATTGGCTAGTTAACCAGTGAGCCCTACCCACATTTTAGGTCTTGTAGCATATTTTCAGGGCTATCAGATCAGCTGACTTTGAAGGATAGCATACCTATCTAGTGTTTATATCAATTATAAGCCTGACAAGTTTAAAAGTTCACATGCTATCTCAGTGCATTTAACAATAATGGATTTTAACCCCTCTTGAACAGAGACATGGTATGCCTGCATCTAATTCTAAATAAAGTGGTTTTCATCCCATTACAGAGAAAAACAAGTATTTATGTATGTACTGAAGTACACTTCTTGTCTTTGCTGGTATAACAATGTTTATAGGATTTATTTTTTTGCAAAACCATCGAAGTGATTCTATAATTTTAACCAGGAAGAATATTTCAACCATTAAATTAATTGCTCAGATAGAGCTTGTACAGATTCTGTTGGTTGATTGGCACTTCTTTCTTGTAAACTAAGCTTGCATGCTTATGCTGTCTCTGTCAGCACTTGGGTTGTGGTAATAAAACTACATTTTTTTCCCCTTGGTAATTTAACCAGTTTTGACAGAGCTAGTTGGATATACTGTTCATAACTGCAGTGTTGAAATAACACTATTTTTACCAGTAGAATTGGCTACTGTCAAGCAGCACATATAAAGATAATCTAAATTTTCTGAATGTATAGAGATGTCTTCAGCTAAGAACATATACTATTATTATATGCTGTTACATGGGTAGGTTGGATGTTTTGCACATAAAAGTGTCTGGCTCCAACTCTACTTGAAACAAACTATGGAATCAGTCCTCTTTACATCATTGATTGAATCAAATCTAGTACTGATGAAATATAGAACAACATGATCAATATGTCCAATCGCAGTACAAACTAATGCTTCTGAGAGTTTAGAGAGAAAATAGTTGTCTTTAGAGAGAAAATAGTTGTCTTAGCTATTCTCTGACTGTTAAAAATGGCTCTTTCCTATTCCAGGTGAATAGGAAGATAGAAATAATGCAGAAATCTTGAAATATAGCGTTGTTTCACATTAGAGTGAAATTTGAAAATGTGGAAATTATCCTGGAAAGAAAATCCAAATAAAGTGATCAATAGTTTTTTTTTTGAATTTGACTTTTTAGTAGCATATGATAATGTAAAAAAAATCATCATGCTCAGACATGCAATGTAGACATTCTTTTTTACAAAAATGAGACTTAATTTTATAAAATTGAAACAATAGAAATATTTGTCTAAATTTTCTCCCTAGCTCTTTGAAAGTGTGCTAATATAAAAATACAAAGTTTCTTTTTACTGATATTATATTTTGCTGTATTTATTACGTGGTGAAAAGTTTTTTCTATTTTCAAGGTAAGAAAGGTAAGTAAGATAAGTCTGAAAAGTGTGCCAGAAACTAAAGTCAAACTTGATACTACCTAACTCACCTAAAGGTAGTTAGCTTCATTTAAGTGAAAGCTAGTCATGTTATGACCTTTAATAGATGGAGAGAAACATAAACCTCCAGCTTATGTGCCTGAGTTTTCTTGAATCCTTTTTTTGGGATGAGATTAATTTCCTTCTTTTGTATTTTCCTATGTTTATCCGTTGAACATAATTGTAAAAGAGAGCATTCTGGGATAAACTTGCATTGTGGCACCAATAAATTCACCTGAGTTGCTGACTTTCAGTAAGTGATATTTGGAATAAGGCACTAAAAGGATTAAACATGTAGAACAGGTTGAAGATGAAAATGCCCTGTCCTTACTGATATTCAGTACATTTCTTTTTTTCACAGTGATACATCATTTCTCAACTAAGCAAAGAAGAATCAAAGCAATAAAGGAAATGGCAAGGGTATTGGTACCTGGAGGCCAGATAATGATTTATGTTTGGGCTATGGAACAAAAGAATCGTCGCTTTGAGAAACAAGATGTATTTGTTCCATGGAACAAGGCCTTGTGCTCACGCCATTTTTCAGAATCAAATCAATCCGGAGATAAGGGTGAGTTTGTGCATACTGCAAAAGGCCAAGACATACACCCTGCACAGCTCGTCATCTCTGAGTGCAGCTACCAAACCAATTTGCAGCCAGAAACTGATTCAAAACATTCCCACAGTATGGGCCATTGCTTACCCAGAGCCTGCTGCATGAAAATTTCTGAAGAAGAAAACAGGTTTTACAGTGCTCTGGGAAGATCTTTCCGCTCATGGTTTTTCTCCAGATCCCTTGATGAATCAGCCCTGAGAAAGCAGTGTGATAAAATGAAGCACCTGAAACAGGAAGGAGTTTGGGCAAACAGTACTGACTTGAAACATGAAGGGGTATGGGCAAACAGTACTGTCCCCATTCAGCATTCACGACACTGCAGTTTGGATTTAGGTCCTCACAGGGCACTGTTAAAAGAACAAAGTTTAGACGATGATGATGTGTTCGTGGAAAGTCTGTCCCTCAAAAAACCACAGTGGTCACCAGCCACAGATGCACTGAAGGATTTAAGTTTAAATGGAGGACACCAAAATGTAGCTCAGAGCAAGGATGACAAAGCTTCAGTTAAAAATGGCCCAGTGGAAGACAGGGACTGCAGCTGTGGTTGTAATAAAGATGGTGCTGGTAAGTCTGATGCCAGCAAGTTTTTCAAAAGAACTTCAACAACTGACTCCACTGACTCGGCTTTGGATTCAGCAGTGTCTGTAGGGGACCAAACTGATGCCATGTTGGATACAAAGGCCTTCATGCGTTATTACCACGTTTTTCGGGAAGGGGAGCTGTGTTCTCTGGTAGAAGAGAACGTGCCTGAGCTTCAGATACTTTCTTCCTGCTATGACCATGGAAACTGGTGCATTATTGCAGAGAGAAGAGGAACATAGCTGTAAACAGAACAAAGCAGAATCCAGTGACTGAGGATTTTAAGCTGCTGCTTGTTTTACTGTGATTGTGCAGTGTGACATGGAATTTGAATCTTGTTGTTGTGTGCCATTTATTTCTGATTTATTATCTCTCTGACTATTTAACTAGATAATACAAGGTCTGTATATAGGAATATAAGTGGCAAAAAATATTTATGTTTTGTTAAACTTTTATGAAATTAAAACGGGAGAGTTTTATATTGCTTTTAGCAAATAATTGTGTTTTAAAATATACTTTTCTATTGAGAAATAAAACCTTTTTATAAGACAAGGATCAGGGCATCTTTTATGAGAAATATCCTCTCAGTAGAAAGTTTAGTCTTTGTTCTTCAAATCTGAAAGTGTGTCACATTGCTCCCTGACTATATACTGGTAGAGTGCATGCTGTAAAACTGGCCCCAGTGCTACTTAGTTGGGAGTAGAGTTGTTAATGGGCAAAAACTATGTACAAGACAAGCTCTGCATATTCTGTCATTTGAGGTTTGTATTTCAGAGCAAATGACAGAACAGATTTTGAACAGTATTTTGGACTTTTATTTTAAAAATAATTCAATTTGTTTCTCAGGTTAAGTTTTATGTGTTAGCTCTCACAAATACTTAATTTCCTTTGCTGTAGTTTTTCATTAGTTACATGTATATAGAAGTCAGAGGGATTTGTGAGAGTATCAGTATTATGTAAATGTTATAAAATATTAAATACTTGAGATACATATATCTTTTTGATAAGCTTGGTAAGCTAAGATAAAAGTAATAAAAAATCCAGTGCATATCTAGTCAGCTGTTATATTTAGTTTTCTTATTCACTGACATGAGAATATATATTAAATGGTGTGTTAAATAATGCAGATAGGAAGAGGATAAGCCCAGTTTGTACATAAAATACAAATTCCTGTCTTTGCAGTTTAAATGAATCTTTTGAGACCTAAATGATAGCAGATTGCTTACACTACTTTGCCATTCCCTGTAAGATAAATTTTACTGAGCACGGTGCACCATCATTATCTGTCTGTAGTAGGTTGCAGCAGCTGCCCTCATATTGTTCTTTACACTCAAATAATCTCATCCCACTCAGTGGGATGTGAAGTTATACGTGCTGTGGATAAAAAACACCTGGCTTCAGATGACCAGTAGTGAAATTGCCAAAAGAAGCAGCCTAAAGTAGGCTAATTGCCTTGTTAGCACGGAGTTACTTCATTTCTAGGCAATGCAGGGCACATCTTCAACTGGTGTGATTTCATGACCTTTAATGGAACTGCACAGATTCACCCCTACCCCAAAAAAAAAACCCAAACAACCCAAAATCAAACCCCTTTTGTTACAGAAAAACAGACCTACATAATTAAGATGTCTGCCCTATTATTTAGCAAATAGCTTTGAATACAAGGCAACAGGAGTCAAGTGCCAAAGTTTTCCAGTCTATGCTGCATAAGTAGATGGATTTGGAGTTGTTCAGTAGAAAGCCCCGATGGTGCTGAGTATTTTTTGATGCAGCTGCCCAGCAGTAAATTGCCACATGGTAATGCATTATAGATTTATCTACTGGAGCAATGTCCATTTATCTACTGGAGCAATCATTTTGGTCTCCCTTATAACTTGGGATCCTCATACTTTATTTTTTCTAGGTCTGTACCACTTGCAGTCCCCATGGGCATTTGAAAATAAATGTATGGCCAAAAAAGCATACATCTGAGACTTCTAAAATATTATTCCACTCTAAATATTACTTTCAATACAGCCTGGGGCTATTGCTCTCAGGCGCTGTGTATACTATACTTCAGAAAACTGGCAATACTCCCTGCATCACGGGGTCCAGCTGCTCCTGTCTGAGTGGGCAGCACCTGATGCATTCTCAGGCTCCAGTTTCAGAAGCTTTGTGCCAAAGTACCCGTGCTGGCATATTGCAGAGCCTGCGTGGATTGTGCTTAGCTCCACACCTCATTTGACGTGTGCTTGTGTCAGACAAGGCCTGCCTCTTTTGTTGGGAATTTCTGGGGGAGCTTGAGGATTTTAGAAGAGAAGTCAGTTGCTTCTGGATAAGATATGCCAGTGGATATTCAGCGCTCCTGAAATTTAAGAAAGAGGAAGATTATTATCATCCTGTATCCAATTCTGAAACTTCATCCCTAAACTCCAGCATGCAGAAACTTTATCTCACATATATGAAAATATTTATTAAATATTATTAATCTAAACTGACAGCTGGGTTCAGTTAATTGTGAGAAAGAACATCATGATTCTATTATCTGCACTTCTGCTATCTGACTGTGGGAAATTTGGCTTGTGGTCAAGCAGGCTGATGAAATTTGGAAAAACTGAGAAAGGAAAGGTGTCCATTCTCTTTACAGTGTAGACTTACTGTCCTTGCAAGAGACTGCATCTGTGTCAGGATCCAGTGAAAACTTGTTGCTCTCTCAGCTGTTTGAGTAACAGCTGTCACCTCAAAGGTACTGAGGTACCTTAAAACATTTTTCTGTTTATAGACTTTCCATGCATTGTTTGGTTTGAGATTCTTGCTTAGGAATGCTTTTCACAATGACTTATTTCTGTATTGGATTTTCTCTTGTTCTGAGCTAATGCCATTCCGTTGCATTTCATACAAGTTGGGATTGTATTCTTATAAATTCCTGGGAGAGGAAGAGGGGAGGTTTGGTAAACTGCCTTTTTTTTTTTTTTTTTCCCCCTCCCAAATATACTCTGAGGATATATAAGCACCATGTAACATAATTTTCATAGACTGGAGATCAGTCAGCAGAGGTCATGACTGTGAGGTCTGCACAGCAGACCTTTATTCCTGTATGCAGTCTCCCATCTATTTGTGGTGGCTGCCTAGATCTGTAACAGCTCTGTCATCTCATAAGAAAACTGATTGCCTCACTCAAAGCATGGTGAAGGTCCCTCTTGACTGTTTTCTCTTTTGTTGAGGCCCACCTTAGGCAAATATAATTTCCAGAAGAATCCGTATGATCCCAGATTTTAATAGCTTACAGACATAGTTAATGTGCTCAGAGAAGTGTGTATGCCATTGAAAAGTCTATAGTAAATTAATGCATAAGTTACTAAAACCCAGTTGTCCTTAAATGCTAAAACTTTCAGCAATGTCCAGACTGAATGATCTGAGTGTTATAAGGTAAGGGGCAAATGTGTTCTTACGTTGCTTGTCTGACAAGTGGGCAATAATTTCATCTCAGTTCTGCTGGTAACAAACCTGCGTCTGACTTTAGTGGGCTTGGATTGCTCCTAAGCTGCTTCTCTAGCTCTAAGTGGAATATGGAGGAATTTTGATTACATGAGAAAAATGCTGAGTGAAGAGTTGTGTGTATTCCACTGGCAGAATATTGTAAGTGAACTGCCTGGGTAGCTTCTAAATAGAAATAATAGCTCTGATCCTGTGTCCTCTGTGCCACATCATGTCTCCAAAAGACTGCATTCATATCACTGTTGGGCTCTAATAGTATTGACATTGTGCTGAATGTATTGGTCTACCCACTTTGTTGCTCAGCACTTCTACTAGATTTGGGACTACTTCAGTATTCCAGGAAAATGAAGTGTGTTGGTCTTAAATATATACTACTGCACTTCTTCTTTGAGTTCAGCATTTCTTACTTTTACAGTATATGAATTCTGGCAGCTACCCATTATTTTGTCTTCCAATATGCTGGTCAAAACCATGCTTAGGTACTGCTCTGTAATCAGTTCTGTGTCCTTACATGGAACCTATTCTTTAGTATTCCACAGAAAATAAATCCTACTTGGTTAAAATATAATTTCCTACAAAATTTCTGTGTCTTCAGATTAGCTAATAAATATATTTGCCACCAGGAAATCTGTGCCTTGGGAAGTTCTTAGTGTTAAATTTGAGAAGACAGTGTTAGTGCTGTTTGCTCAGTAAGTTACACAATGGACACAATGCAAAATAGGTAAGGATAATGATGTGCTGTGAACCTAGGGAGACTGGCTTTAGAGAACCATAGTTAACCTAACCATAAGTGTGATAATTTGAATTAGGTAAATCAAGGTGATGAAATGTGGTTTTTAACTATGTCAATACTATATGTCCTGTTGATGATAGAAAAGCAGGATGGTCAGCAGAATTAATTGCTACAGAGCTACATTTCCTGTTCCTTATGATCTGTTTACAGTCATCCAGGACAAAGCTTTACGGTGTAAGATAACAGTGAAGTATTTCTGTGGGATGTTCTTTTTCCACCAATTTTAATCAGAAAAGAAAAAAAAAAAGTAATTAGAATTATTCAGTTGCCTGGTGAGGTTACAGCTGTGCTGTTTTACAGTTGCAGTGATTGTAATGTTTGTACAAGTGCAATGTCACTTATTGTACTGAAATGTTTGTTATAGCAATGACTAAGGACCTAATAGTAATTAAGCACTATCCAGATGAATATTAATAAATGTCCAGTAGTACAGAGTATGTAACCTAATAGTATTTAGGTTATGGGAAAATAGTATGAGCACAGGGTGGACAATAGGGTGGTAACAAATATAATTTCAGGGAAATGTGGAATGGTTTTTATGAGGAGGGAATGAATTAAATCTGGTAGTGTTGAGAAAGGCTGGGGAAAACAAGCAAAGAGAGGTATTATACGGAAAAAGGAAGGGGAATGGCAAAGATGGGAGCAATCACAGTAGAGGAAGCACAATCAGCACTGCAGGATATTCTTAGCTTACGCAGAGGTTCCTGTTTTGACTGCTTTAACTTTCTGGAGGGTCTAGTTGGTATCTCTTCTGCTCTCTTACCTAAAGAGCATGTGCAGAAGGAGGAATACACCTTTTTCTCAACACTTGGAGCTCAGTACTATTCCCTGTAGGCTTCCAAGGATAGGCATACTCAGAGGAAGATTTGTTAGGGATAACAATTTTTCCTTCCTTTGTATCCCCGTCACTTCATTGCAGCATGTTCTGTTTTGGTTCCTTTCATTCTTGCTGAGTGTTTCAGTTTGCTCTTGTTTTTTTGATCGTGCTCGACTGTGCCCAAAATCTTTTACCTAATTACCTCCTCTGCCATTATAGTTGCATTAGTACAAACTTTATATGTAGAAAGGGCTGTATGGACAGATGAAATAAGTATAAAGACACAAAAATGTGCATATTTTCAGCAGTTAATGGATCCCAATTGCTGCAGTTACTATATAATTTTGTTATTATTATCCAGAGTAACAAAAGGATTGCTCTGAGACTCCTCCTTAAAGCATTAAGTATGTGCATACCTTTGTACCAGGCATGTACCTGTATCTTTGATACTTAGATAAATTTCAA